CGGAAGATTAGATTAGATGTTTGAGTGTGATATGCTTATAGCATCATATAAAACAAATGTCATAACTGTGTTTGACTATTCTCACATGATATGGCAGGGTAATGTGTTAGCTTTGGCCCGTGGTGGCAGGCTGTGTTACGCCATTCAACATATATATGTAACATTTCAGCTGCTCATCGCACCAAGGGTTCATATTCTGCTCTGCTTCTTACATCTAGTGGAAATCATAGCCCTTCTGCATTCAAACATACAAGTAAATAGTGCCCTGATAAAGTCCTTTTGTGTTTGTATTTCATTTTGCAGCCGATTTCAGGTCAGTTAGGGTTCTAATGTCTTCTATTCAGACTTTTAGAAACCCAGAGAAGATATGTTTGGTCTGTTGTCTGCCATCAGGTCAATCACGTCAGTTGGCTAAAACATATAACACTTATGTAGTTTCAGAAGTTTAGTGTCGTCCGAAAATGTGCTATACATGACTGTAAGTGATCTGTGACATTAAATAATAACCTGGCCTTGTACTAAAGACAATGAAATTAAATGCTGTGGAATTATCTTTACAATTTATCCAATTTAAAACAATTTGTTGTAATAAAAAAGTTGTAAAGCATTAAATTCATCTTCACTCAGATGATACTGATGGATGTTCAAGTCTTCAAATAAACTTTTTATATGATGAATTTAGTATGTTAATATTATACCCACTTCAATAAATTCAGGTCTGTATATTAATACATGGAGGTTTTAAGGTGTAAAAGTTTTTTACTGTACTCCACTTCCTGTTTGAAATGTTTAGATTTTTGCTTGATGCACACAAAGTGCCCAACACCATGACACCAAAAATGCGGTTGCAGTGAACAAACATTTCATTTCATTACAAAGTCACAGATTATAGATTATTATACGGCTCAGTCTTACACAAAATATTCTGCCTTCTCTCCCAAGTTTGGCACAGAACGTTCACTACAGGAAAGGCAGACAGCTAGACAGGGCATCAAAACAGTGGCATTAAATCTACCAGTCCCCAGTCCTGAATGTGCTCCTGAACACAATATATATGCCTATTATGTTGGTTATACTTCACATAAGGTTCTACATTGTTACTATTCCTTATGAGACAACCAGTGCATTTTCATTGACTGACACTGATATATTTTCAATGTGCATTACCTTGTGCTGCTGGGTAGGCTACATTAGTATATATGTCCATAACTGCATACCAGTAAACTACTCACTTTAAAAGTGAAAAGCTTGCATGAAAATAATTTTTCTTTTTTTTTTCTTTTTGTATTTTAAAAAATAAATCAGCATATCCAGACCTGAATTTTTGCATTGCATTATGTGTGGAACACAGTTCTATGCAACCTTGTGAATAGCTTCAAGACAGTTAAGACGTAATATAGATCCAAAGGTCACACAGACATGTGGTAACTGTTTTATGACAAATAAAATCTGCTCTCTGAACTCTGCAGTGGAAGTTTCTAGGTGTTCAATAACAATATGTCACCAGTTTATGCGCCTGCTAAATTATACTGCAAGCCTTTCAGTGTCGTGTGGTTTTGGTGCAAGTTTCCAGAGTAGAAGAAGTCAACAAACTGAAACACACTTTTCTCAGAAGAACAAATGTCTTCTCTTACCCCCATCTAATCTCGCTCTTAAAATCCTGCAGCCATACAAAATCATCACTGCTGACGTTGTGGTAAAATGTGAGAGGTTATAAGTACTATGAAACTGAAGACACGGGACTCTGTGATCCTACTTTACCTGTGGGTATTGCAAAATGAGCATGAGGGCATTCACAACCACGACACAAATACACTGTAGCTCCCTTTTTGAGCGAGCCAACAGACTACACTGACTCTGAATCATCCTTTTGAGTCCCATCACAGAGAGTGACTGAGACTAGTTCAAGGCCAAATGCCAATTTTCTCTGTCCCAGGGCATCTCTCAAATCACACTTATTTTGATGATGAGAAGGACATTCATACAATTATGGGTTTTTGATGATAAGATTAGTCTTACATGCCCTCTTGTCCACATGTCCACTGTGATGTTTAGCACATAGTGCATATCTAGCCCATCCTGTTAGCCATAAAACTAATCTTTGCAGGACAAGCATAATATCTTTTTTGACATGGCTGGTACTCTTTGATGTCTTCAGAGTTGAGAGTGTTGTCATTTTTTTATTTGAGCATGGTTCAACATGGTGGCCTCTGTAGAAGAGGACCAGCTCCCTCTGTAGATACCTAAGATCATTCTAAGGTAACAAAAACAACGATTCTTATATTCAGGTG